AAAGAGTGAGAAGAAAGGTGCAGCAGAGAGAAACCTCTACATCCTGACCGCAGCCCTTCCCCCATGCCCTGTACCACTTGTTGCCTCACTGAAGGGACTGAGTGTAACCTGCGTGGATAACAAGGCGGGGAGGAGATGTGCTTGGAGTGAAGTTGAGCCTGAGGGGGAAGTTGAACCTGGGAAAGGGGGAGGAAAGGTGTTTTCCCTAAGTGTGTAAATGTTTGTTTCTTTTTTCTGTTGTGGTTTTTTTTTGTGTTTCCCAATATCTGAATCAGTACTTGAATATTTATATTATATTAATTGGCAAATCAATTAAGTAATTTTTCCCAAGTTGAGTCTGTTTTGCCCGTGACAGTAATAGGTAAGCAATCTTCCTGTCTTTCTCTTGACCCATGAGTATTGCTCTCCTGTTCTTCCTGTTTTCTCCTTCTATCCTGATGAGGAAGGTGGGGATTGAGCAAGAGGCTGGGTGGGAGTTTTGCTGCTAGCCAGGGCCAATCCACCACAACTGAGGTGAAGAGGAAGAATTTGGGCATAGCAGTTTGAAAATAAGGTCATGTAAATTCCAGTACTAGACCACATCTGTGATCTGTATATCCCATATTATTTTTTTCCAACAGTGGTCGGTACTAGAAGCTTCAAAGGGAAAAAATAAAAAAAATTGAAATAACCCTGGAAAAATCTTCCTGTAGAGACAATTTTATCCTAATTCTATCTTTTAGAGTCTACTTTGTGCCCCAAGATGAAAATGTTTGTACATAATCCAAACATAAAATAAAAACCCTCTCTTACCAATGTAACACTAGATATTCTTATTATTTATATACACATTTTTTTTATATTATTCATGCAAAAGTCCAATTATTCACTTTGAAACTTACCTAACATATCCTGTGTGCTAATAAATTCTCTAGTAACTAAGCTAAAGGTGATTATATAAAGTAAAAGCATTTTTTCCTCCCAAAGTTGTTTTCTTTGAATTTCACTGTACTATGAAAAAAGTAAGTAGAAGTGCCCTGTCTGTCTTTTAATGTTTTTGTATACTTCTGTCATGTTCCCTCTTATTAGTGCTTTGTCTGAAGTCCCAGATTTTGCAGCCCCTCTGTGGAAGGTTTTTACAGGATTCTTGACATGTCTCTGAATACCCACTACTTCTGCTCTATCGGTTTTTTACTATTATTATTTTTTTATTTATTTTATTTATTTTTTATTTTATTTATTTATTT